CAAAAAGTTACAGGTCTTGTTAATGAAGACGTGGCTTGTTTTTATAAGGGTGACTTTTTTTAATACTATGCATCAAGTAGGCAACATACTCTATTATGAATGTGGTGTATGCTGATACTCTAGGTGGAATATGTGATTATCTCACAAGTGCAGCATATGAATATGCTCAAAAGACATCATAGGATAGTAACTACTGGTGGTTACCTTTGAGCTTTTTGAGGACACTAGTTATAATCTCCCCTCATCTGCAGGGTTACGATTTCCACTTAAGATGACAATGTTTTTTAGTTCTACTCTATTTTCACAACAGTGAATAATTTTTGCATTTTGGATGTGCTAATCAATGGAGCTCATTTCTGATCTGTAAGCTATAAAAGTAAAGCCCCATGAAAATGCAATGGCAACATTTGAGACTGGATTAAAGAAAGGGTTGCTGTGGAAGACTTTGCTATGGTTAGGAAGTACATTTTATTTACTTCATCATACTCAACAGTTGTAATCCCGTTTGGTCTACTTAGTGCCCTATAACTACCTATTTTAAGAAGTAAGGTTAAAGACTCACATTTCTGTCAATTAAGTTTTTTTCATAGTGAAAAGTACTAAGAGAATATGCTTTAAATCATTGCTGTTTAACTTTTTAAAAATCACACTCCCTTTGGAGAAACATAAAAATCTCAGGTTCTCCTCTTAACATACTTAGAATTAATAAGTGATATATTAGGAACAGTTAATACATGGACTTTTTAAAATTATGCTTTTATTTTGATCTTGGAAGATACTTTTCATTGCTGTTGTTACATCAATAATTCAAAATCAGCATGAGTATTAAGACTACTTGTATATCCCACAAACTTTTTCATCCTTGGAAATGTGGAAAACAGAAAAACATTGTTCAGTAATTTCAATATCAGGCCTTTTGCATTACTTCATTTTAATAAGCAGAAGGGCAGGTAAAATACAGATATAAACAAATGGGTGAAAGGAAAGACAGAGAGAGAGAGAGGATGAATGGAAGGAAGGAAGGAAGGAAGGAAGGAAGGAAGGAAGGAAGGAAGGAAGGAAGGAAGGAAGGAAGGAAGGAAGGAAGGAAGGAAGGAAGGAAGGAAGGAACAAAGGAAGGAAGGAAGGAAGCAATTATAGATGATTTAGATTTACCAAAAATAAATAAATATTTACACTTAAATTATTTGTCTAATAACTTCATTTCTTAAACCTGAATATGAAAGTATGTATATTTATGAGTGTATCCTAAGAAGCTCTACAATCAAGGATTTCTAACTCAATGTAAAAAAGTAATAACAAAAGGAAGAAGGGAGGAGGGAGGAAGAATTTCTCAAGAGAACTGTTGCCTCCATCCCCTTAAAATCATTAATTTAGATAATTCCCAAAGGAATCTCTGATCAAAACCATATGATCTAGAAAAGTTCTCAAGATTTCCTTTAATGAGCTTAAACAAATGACTGCTGTCAAGTCTATTTCATTTAATTCTGCATAGAACTATTTTGAAGCCTCACCACATAATTAGTTGGTATGGCTGACCAATGCAGAAAACAGAACTTACTCAAAAGATTGCAATTTAAGAAACTCATTTTGGAAAACAGGATTTAGGAATACACATATTGAAATCCAACTCTTCACACTATGTTGGGATTACATCTCTCATGATAGTTCAATGCTCAGTAAAACTACAAAGTCAAAAAAGTCTAAAGTTGCAACTTCTAGATTTTTCATTGACCTTATGGTGTACCATGTACAGCAAGACGCTTCTAGGAAATAAGATAGTGGCTACACACTGTGCCTAATATAAGAAAAACTACATTGCAGTTGCATATATATATATATATACAACATAATTATAATAATAAAACCATGAGCATTTTTAAAATGCTCTTATTAATATTAATCTACAAGATAGTGAAAAATGTATAAAGTGAATGAACTAACAAGTCTTGATTCAAATGACAACTGTGCCTGAAACTGAAGTTTCCTTAAAATTTTCTTACATATCTTAATATGTTTTCTAGCTACACAGTACATCTAAAATTTGGGAAAACAAAAACCAGGTGCATCTTGCACCCAAAAATGCATTCAGCATCGTCATTTGGAATTATCTGAAAACAAATGTTTAAATTAAATCATTTATCTAATAACCTGATTTCTTAAGCCTGAATATGAAAGCATGTATATTTAGGAGTATATGCTAAGGAGTTCCATAATCAAGGATCTCTAACTCAACATTTAAAAGTAGTAACAAAGTGGCCTGTGAAGCAGATTCCCCAGGGCTTTGGAAAGATAAATAGAAAAATTGAGGTACAGAACGTAGAAGAGACAGATACAGCTTCCAAATTTACATTTAACCATTAACACCACATTTCTATGTATTAAAATCCACATGGTTACAAAAGACAAGAATTTATTCCATACAGATTACAAAAATTATTTGTAAATCCAATGTTAGTATTTGCTGGGGATTACAGACTGTGAAATAAAAATATAATAGATATTCAGTAAGCATTTTTCTCGCTAATTATGATTTCATAAATTTTTAAACTTTGTATTCTCAGATGTCAGGTACTTAACTGGAAACTGACATCTATTTGGTTGCTAAGAGATAAGAGATCAGTTTGCATTTTTTTCTTTGTCCTTAGGAGAAATGCCCACTTGGGTTCTGTCTCAAAGTAGTGAAAGTTAACTCTTGTTACCCAGGTGGGGATTTATATAACTTGTAATAAAAGAAATTCCCTGGTCTCAGAAAAGAAATGAATTACTTTCAGTTTGAACAATATCTGTTCCAACTTAGAACAATATCTGCCTTTTCCTTAAACTTAATGGTTTTCCATTTTACACAACTGAAACGTAATAGCATTATTTTATAATCAAACTTAACTAATGAGTCTCTGTTATGAGTACTTTGACAAAAGTCTTCTGAGAAATGAGGTCATTCCATCAATTTGCATCCCAAAGTGAGGCTCAAACCTAACATTTTAGAAGTATTTTCTGCCTTGAACTTTGACCATGTAGCTTTCAAAAGCTGAAGGAACAAGACTAAACTTGGTCCATCTGGTCTATTTTTTCCTATACTTTATCAAAGCATCAAAAGCAAAGTGCAATTATAAATACATACATCCTAACTGGTCTTTAGTTTATCACAAATAAACATGAATTTGCCTTATCAAGGAGAATAATCTTCTAAAAGAAGAGCAGGATTTCAATCAACATATGTTTCCTAATGACACTGAGTATCTAGCCTCTCTTCACATGCACATTTCATAACCTTCGAAGACAATCTTCTAGGTCACATTTTAAAGAAGTATGCTGAAAAAACAGTCCATTGCGATAGCATTGTATATTATTACAAAATCCAAGAGGTTTAATTTTGAACTCCGGTACTTACTATAATGCCATTGATCATTCACTCTGATTTCATAGCAATGCTTTACTGGAGTATACTGCAAGGGAGCACAAGATAATGCATTTCTTTGTCTGCTGAGACAATGCCCATTTGTCCACTCCTCTTTTTACTCTACTTCTTGCACACCATCAACCAGCTACCTGTTGGTGATTCCTTGCACCCTGTATGCTACTTTAACATTAAGTCAGATTACTACCATTTCTGATCCCGAACCCACGAAGAAGAAAATTCATGTTACAAGCAAGGTTTTTAAAATGTAGTCTTATGCCTATAAAAGGACTATTGCCCATGTTGAAGAGAAAAAGATGAATTATCCTCTGTCTTCTGAGCTTTTACTTATTTTATAATGCCATACCTTTATAAACATGTCCTGTCATACTGGGAGGAAAGAGACACACAATGTGTAACACCTGAAGTCATAAAATGTAATGAACTCAAATAATATCTCAGAGGGAGGAAACCTAGTTCCATAGAAGAAAAAAAAAATAGAGGCAAAGGAGTGAAGCTGCATCATTACAAGAGTAACAGAAAATCCTCCTGGGCTTTTCCAGCTAAGTTTTGTGCAGGAACAGCCACCTAATCACTGTGCAAGTCGTCATCCTTGTGGAACCTCCCGTTCCCAAGCAAAGACTGCTGGCCCCTCTCCACCCTGTCCTTAGGCACAGAAACCAGCACCCATAGGGAGGTTCCAGGGATGTCGAGGGGAGCAGAAACAGACCAGACCGTGTTGCTCCAGCGTCCTCATGGCGGTCCCAGCTCCAAGTCCCAAGTCCATGTAGGAGCCAGCCTGGCTCCCAGTCGTCCCTCGACCTGCACCCCCCTAGCCAGAGGTGCCAGGGAGCTTGCAGAGCAGTTTTTAGACTCCAAACAAAGATCCCCCACGCCTCCCCTGTGCTCTCTCACAAGGCCCTCGTTTTCTAGCCCTTTAATGAAATCTCTCAGGGGCAGGACCAGAGATGCTTGGTAGCGGAGAAGGGACGTGCCCGGCTTTCTTGTCTGAATGAGTTGCCGGGGGTGACTTGGCGTGGTCAGGGAGGGGGGCTCTTTAGGAAAATCCAGGACAAGGGACAACTAAGACATCAGATCAGTCCCCTCCCTCGCACCCCCACCCTCACCTCTCACCTTAAAGACGACTTACTGGAGGCAGGCTTCTGCAGCTTTGCGGCCAGGAGGTGGGTGAGAGCGCCCCCGGGCCACTGCGGCCTCTCCAAAGGGAGTGCGCTAGTGGGCGCAGCCCTGGGATGTCGGTGAGACCAGCTCAGAGTTACGGGGTCCCAGATTGTGAGTGCGCGAGGGCGCGGAGAGCCAGCGCTCCTGCCGGGCCGAGCGGCGCTGCGCGAGGGGGTGGGCGCGGCGACAGGGGCGCCCCAGTCACAGAGAGAGGCAGACAACCCCGCCCCTTAGGTGACAGGACTGGAGCAGCTACCGGGGCTGCCAGACTGAGAAACTTGGTGCAGAACAGACAAGCTCCCCCGGCCGGACGTGCCCCACGCTCTCGGACCCGCTCCAACGCCTCCAGTCACCACCATCACCCACCCCACGCTGCAAAAATCCCCACCGAGCCTTCGGATCCCAGGCGGCTAATTACCTCTGTCGGAGGCGGAATGCGGGGCGGCCAGCGGCAGACACTTTTAGCCTGACTTCCCTGCGTTCGCATGCGAGCGTGTGCACGCCGAGCAGGAGCTGTCAGCTGCTATTTATAGAGCCGAGCCTCAGCAGCGGGCTGGGAACCCGCAGGCAGTGCGCAGGCGGCGGCGGCGGCGGGCGCGGACCGCGGGCCGCGGCTCCCCGGAGCCCCCGCGCCTCCCTCAGGCTGCCCGCTCGCTCCCGCGGCCCGGAGAAGTTGTCACCAGCGCAGCGGCCACGCCGGCTGCTCACATGCCCCCTGGCACAATCGCTACTCTCTTCCCCCACCCCCGCCTCCCTTCCCTTCTTCCCCCTCCCCGGCCCGTCCCCAGCGATCTCCTCCCGGTGTCACCAGCGGCGGGACAAAGGCACCGCCGTCAAGGACAGTCGCGCAGCTGGCGCCCCTCGCTTCCCGCTACCGACGGAACTAGAGCTGGTCCCCCGGCCGATCAGCCTTAAATGACCAAAGCACGCTTGCTTGACGCGCTGACACCCTGCACCCCGACACCCCGCGAGCGGGGACGTCACCCGGCCTGGGATGTGGGAGAGCCGCTGCGGAGCGGTGGCCGGGGCTGCCCGGGGCCGCCACGTTGCGGCCGGAGCCGAGGAATCACGGGGTTTTCACGGCGGGAATAGGCGCTCCACACCGAGATGGAGTGGGGGTGGGAGCGTTGTCCCCGTTGAGCAGACCTGCCTGCCACCACCCGGGGACCCCTCTCTCGCCACCCCTCCGCCCTTGTTTCCAGCTCAGCAGAGCCCTTGGCCTCCACGTCGCGGCTGTGACTGAGGCCAAGCTGCTCCCAACAAGCGTGTGACACGCCTCTGGCAGCCCGGATGCTTGGGGACAAATCTACATTCGGCGTGTGGGGTGTCAGGAAAACAGGGTACGTAAGCACGCAGTCTGAACGGCGGCTGAAATTCCCCCACTTCCTAGCCGACAAGCCCATCGGAGAAGGCACACAGCCTGGTTATTCCGGGCTGTGGGGTGTGGGGCCAGTGACTCTCCCCATCTGCGCCTTACAAGTGCCACCTGGCGGTTCTCTGGGAGAGGCTTTTACTGAGCTGCTCAAAGATAATGAATGCTAGTAACGCAGAGCGCCAGCGCGTGTAAGCCCCACTCCCTAAGGGCACTTTAAATTTACATTTTAAATTAAATAGAGTGAGAATGCTAGTACACAAGGGTTACATTTGCCAGGAAGAGACAATAGAATCCCAAAGTTAGGACGGTGTAGTCAATTTGGGTTAAGTCAGTACTTAACGGTTACACAGAGTGGGAAGCTGTAGCCGCCCCCAGCTGTCACTCTGCTGTCACTTCCTGCATAGAGGCATCCATTCACTCCACAGACACTTAACTGCCACTAGGTTACAAGCTTTATTGATGAGAGCTGAGATGTTGCTGTTTGGGTTCTTTTCCCATCACTCTTTCTCAGAGCTTGGAACAATGCCTAACATGCTGTAGTTTCGGTAAATGTTTTTAAGATGAGTTAATAAACACTGAGCCAGAAACACTGCCTGGCCCATTGTCTCCCCTAGGCCCTGCAGTCCTTCCTCTTTCCCTCTCCTGGGCTTTTTCTGCCATGTTGAGCCACCATCACAGGTGATCCGGATGGAGGGGAGGGTGGGAGGCAGAGAGTCAGTGCAGGCCCTCCAGGGGAGAGGATCACACTTGAGGAGCCTGTTACAAGAATTCGATTTATTTTCCTTGGGGCAGTGCTGAACATACCCATCTGGGGCAAAAAGACACCTATGTCATCCCTGGGGCTTGAAGCAATGGATAAATCCTGTTCTTAGAGATCTGCCGGCCAGACAGATGATACAACTCTGTCACTGGGCAAACGGTTCAGCCTTTTCCTAAAACACAGAAAGACTGAAAGATCATCCAAGCATCAGAGCTTGGCCACTAAACTGGAAAGATGTTTCATGTATCTATCCTTTGATTTGAAATGGAGGTGTGTGTGTGTGTTTTGTTGTCTACAAAGACACAGTGCCAGAAATACTAAACCATTCCTTCCAAAAGACCGTTATAAAGTAGATGCAGTTACTGTCTTTATGAAAATGAACACTTAAAGAGATACCCAGAAAACCCTCTTATAATTAAAATCCAGACATAGATCATGCTGACCAAGACCTTTTGCAAGACCTAGGAAGTTTAGATTCTAGGGAGAGAGAAGAATGAATCAGATGCACATACATGCACAACATTTTAGAAAACCCATCAATCAGCCTGATATTTACCATTTTTAGTTATTTGGCAGTGTTTTCCTTGAATAAGCCTAGAGGATTCAGATACTTCTATGTTTATTAAACACACCCAACTTTTATAAACCTTGATGTTTTAGCCACATGTGTCCCCAAAATATAATTCCATTTACCAGTGAAAGACAAAATATTTTTCATTTTCCTTTTGAAATATCACTGTAGGGCCATATGTCAAAGGTGATTCACCCTAGCTTGCTGTCTAAAGCAATAAAATCAAGCCAGGATCTGCAGGGCTGGCATCTTACTCTCCTTGTTAGTGAAGTAGCTCATATTCTTTCATTGTATTGATTAATTTTTTCTGGTAATTTTTATTTCAGGTGAGACTTCTATGGCACAAAGACTCTACATTTCTGTGATTCTTCACTGTTAGAAATGTCTTCTAAGATACAGCACTAAGTATTACATAGATGTGTGTGTGTGTGTGTGTGTATGTTTTACCACAGTTGTTCATTTATATTGATAACTTTGTGGATAACTTCATTCCAATTTTTAAAAACTTAACATTGGAAAAGGTTAAGCTTTGATATTCATACATTCTCTTGCTTGTACACATGTGTGTATACGCATATTTAAATTAATGTGAGATGCTATTAGAAATAGAAATTTGACCCAACTTAAGTAAAAGGGGAAAACTATTGTAAAGGTATCTGGCTGTCTGTGGAACCCACGAACAGGAATACAGCTGATCACCAGTGACAATCTGGAAACACAGACATGCCATTAGGACTTTATCTCTCCCTTTTCCCCCAGTAAACTACCAGTACCTGCTCCACTGTTTCTCTCTCCCTCTCCCTCTCTCTCTCCCTGCCTCCCTCCCCCTCCCGTATACTGGCTCCGCTTCTTTGGTGTGCACTGAGTTGCATAGTTACTAACAGCTGTTGAATTTCAAAATCTATGGGACAGTTATAAATTCTCAAGGAAATACCATGATTGGCCAGTGGCCAAGCCCCAGTCCCGACAACCATGGCCAGAAGGTGAAGGTCAAGTTACATTCTCATAGCAGCTACTACAGTGATCAGCTGGGTATTAGTGGTGCTCTGAGGCAGAAGAGAAAGATAAAAACTCCCAGAATGTGATAAGGTGTATAGGTCATTCCTGATCACTGTTATCTCCTAATCCTTGTTGTTCTATGAATGCTGGCACAAAAGGCAGAATTGGGGAGGGAAGGAGAAATAGAAGGAGTGACGAAGAGTGTATATGTGAATGCATATGCATGTTTAAACACAGAGTTAAGATCGAATGCTCTAAGATCGGTGGTGCTCTAAGATGGTTTGTCCCAGTAGAAATAGCAATACGATTTTATGATCTCTTGACATGGAATTGGATAAGCATAAGGAAGGAAACAAGTATGTCACAGTTTACTTTAGCTTCTTTTTCGTGGCAAATTAAAGATTTTTTTTTAAATGAAGGAAATGAGTGTGATGCCATTTACATTTATTGAAGATAAACATTCTGCTCTCATTTACATAATAGTTACATTGCTAAAATGTATGTAAATCATATATTTGAAAGTGAATCATGTTTCAGTTGTAACAGGATAGTGAATCTTAATGTTTTTGTGCTCATAAACCCCTTTGAAAATTTGGAGAGAGCTACGAACTCTCTCCAGAAACCAATATAAGCAGATGCACTTACATTTATGGTGGGATGATACAGGACATATTTATGTAAGTCCCCTCTTATCCACAGATTCACTTTCTGTGATTTCCATTTCCCACAGTCAATTGTCACCCAGAAGCAGACAATCGTTTTGACACATCATCAGAAGGTCAGTAGTACCCTAACACTACATCGCAATGCCAATGTCATTCACCTCACTTCACATGTAAACATTTTACCATCTCATATCACAAGAAGGATGAGGACAGCATGGCAACAAATTTTGAGAGAGAGAAAGAGACCGCATTCATATAATTTTTATTACAGTATATTAGTATATTGTTATAAATGTTTTATTTCATCATAGGTTATTATTATTAACCTCTTACTGTGCCTCAGCTGTAAATTAAGCTTCATCATAGGTATGTATGTATGTATAAGAAACAACATAGAATGCAGAGAGCTCAGTGTACCACAGTTTCAGGCACCAATGTATGTCTTCGAATGTATCCCCCACAGACAAGGGGACTACTGTATTTGAAATGTAGAACTTCAAATACCATGTTTCTTTTGTCTTCCTCCAATCACCCACCCCCATTTGAACAAGTGAACGGAAGACTCCAGATTCTTGAACAAAAGATTAAAAATACCCAGACAGTGTAAGCCAAAAAATTGTCTGGGGGTGATGGAGCATGTGTGAACCTAGGGGACAGGGTCCCTTGCCACCCACTCCTGCTCTGAATGACATGTAATAAAGTAGGAAAAGAAGACAGAGCTCTTAGAACGATGGGAGAAAGCTGCAATATGGGGAAAGAGGTAGTATAAGTTTGGTAGGACTGTCATAACAAGCAACCACAGAAATTCATTTCTCACAGTTCTAGAGACTGGAAGTCCGCGGTCAGTGTGCTGACAGTGCCAGCTTCTCCAGAGGCCTCCCTCCTCACCTGGGGGATGACCACATTTCTGCCTGTGTCCTCACTGGCCCTTCCCCCTGTGCAGTGCCCCTGGTGTCTCATACTATGTCTAATTTCCTATTCTCATGTGGACACAAGTCAGATTGGGTTAGGTTCCACCTAACAGCCTCATCTTACCCTAATCACCTCTTTGAAGACTCCCATCTCCAAAATCAGTGACACTCTGAGGTAGTGAGATTAGGATTTCAACATATGAATTTGAGGGAGCACATTTCAGCCCATAACAGATATGGGCTCCATCAAACTC